CCCCCCCCCAACAGTGAATCCCACGCCCTGGGAGGGGCGACTGCAGAGACAAGGGCCCTGCACGTCTTCACAACCCAGCAGGTTGGCGCCTCCTGTCCCCGGTGATACCAAAGCTGCGGGCTTTTCTTGCCTACCCCAGGGGCCAGAGGTCTCCCTCCCTCACCCAGCGGTTCTGCCTACCCTCGAATTGGTGGCCCCAGCCCGCTATCTCGCAGAGCTCGGCCTCGGGTTCGGCGGGGTGGGCGGCGCTGCTCGGCAGGCAAACAGGCCCAACGAAAGGCGACTGGCGCGCGCAGCTGCCGTCCTCGCTCTCCTGCAGGCGCAGCAGCGCTAACCCGGGCGCGGGGGAGCGTGAGGCCCGTAAGCCGGCCTCGGGGCCCTCCTCGCAATTCCCCTAATCCCCGCGGGGCGCCCCCACGCACCCAGGTCGTGCTGGTAGGTGATGGGTGAGAAGGCCTCGTGCAGGTAGTAGGTGCGCACGGCCAGCGTCTGGCACTGCGCGCAGCTCCGGTTGTGGCGCTCCTGACCCAGCACCACAGTCAGCTCCTCCGGCGCCGGCCTGCGGGCGGGGTGGGAAGGGAGTGCGCTTCAGAGTCGGGCCTGGAGGAACCCCCTGCTCCTGAGCCACTTCCTGGGTTTCAGCTTCCTCTGGGGGGGGCTCTGGAGGGGAAACCGGGAGGACAAGGCATGGATGGGTTCGGGTGTCTTGCGGGTACAGAGGGAAGGAGCCGAGGCCCGAGCTGGCGCTGGGCAGGTGGTACTGGCCGGTTCTGCAGGCAGTGAGCCGCGGTCAGCACCCAGCAAGGGGCGATGAGGCTGCCGGCACAGAAACTGTGGCCCCAGTACAGTGCAGCGATGTAGGGGTGCGCCCCGGGCAGTGCCACTAGTCCCCCGACGACGCGGCGCAGTGAGGGCAGCCGTTTCCGGAGTCGCCGTCCGCAGCCCGCCAGTTCGGTCCTAGGCAAGGAATTCTCCTGCTCCAGCATCTCGGACAAGACTGTGGAGGAGCCCGGGCTGAGGACAGGGAGCCCCACGGGTGGCTGGAACGTAGCTCGCCCCGTGCGCTCTCTATTTGGTCTTCCTGCCCCTTCCCAAATACCTCCCGTCCATGAATCATGTAGATTCTCGGTATCGCTTTCAAACTTCAGCCGTGGTGAAAACGAGGGCAAGGAGAGGTTCCAGCCCTCAAAGGGTGCCTGGGATGGAGNCGAATTGGTGGCCCCAGCCCGCTATCTCGCAGAGCTCGGCCTCGGGTTCGGCGGGGTGGGCGGCGCTGCTCGGCAGGCAAACAGGCCCAACGAAAGGCGACTGGCGCGCGCAGCTGCCGTCCTCGCTCTCCTGCAGGCGCAGCAGCGCTAACCCGGGCGCGGGGGAGCGTGAGGCCCGTAAGCCGGCCTCGGGGCCCTCCTCGCAATTCCCCTAATCCCCGCGGGGCGCCCCCACGCACCCAGGTCGTGCTGGTAGGTGATGGGTGAGAAGGCCTCGTGCAGGTAGTAGGTGCGCACGGCCAGCGTCTGGCACTGCGCGCAGCTCCGGTTGTGGCGCTCCTGACCCAGCACCACAGTCAGCTCCTCCGGCGCCGGCCTGCGGGCGGGGTGGGAAGGGAGTGCGCTTCAGAGTCGGGCCTGGAGGAACCCCCTGCTCCTGAGCCACTTCCTGGGTTTCAGCTTCCTCTGGGGGGGGCTCTGGAGGGGAAACCGGGAGGACAAGGCATGGATGGGTTCGGGTGTCTTGCGGGTACAGAGGGAAGGAGCCGAGGCCCGAGCTGGCGCTGGGCAGGTGGTACTGGCCGGTTCTGCAGGCAGTGAGCCGCGGTCAGCACCCAGCAAGGGGCGATGAGGCTGCCGGCACAGAAACTGTGGCCCCAGTACAGTGCAGCGATGTAGGGGTGCGCCCCGGGCAGTGCCACTAGTCCCCCGACGACGCGGCGCAGTGAGGGCAGCCGTTTCCGGAGTCGCCGTCCGCAGCCCGCCAGTTCGGTCCTAGGCAAGGAATTCTCCTGCTCCAGCATCTCGGACAAGACTGTGGAGGAGCCCGGGCTGAGGACAGGGAGCCCCACGGGTGGCTGGAACGTAGCTCGCCCCGTGCGCTCTCTATTTGGTCTTCCTGCCCCTTCCCAAATACCTCCCGTCCATGAATCATGTAGATTCTCGGTATCGCTTTCAAACTTCAGCCGTGGTGAAAACGAGGGCAAGGAGAGGTTCCAGCCCTCAAAGGGTGCCTGGGATGGAGAGGGGAACTGGGGCGCTGCTGGGGTTGGGACTTGGCACTGTGCCAGGCTGCAGTATTCCCAGCTCAGCTGGTTGCCCCTCCACACAAAACACCACGGGCGGGTATCATTGTCCGGGTTCCTGTAACCACAGGAGAGGGCACAGTTAGAGCTTGGGGAGCCCCAGAGGGCCCTGGAGAGGAGGGGAATGCCATGCCCTGCGCCACCTAGCATACCGGCAGAAGGCATGGTGGCCCAGTCCCGAATTCAGTGCTTGCCCCAAAGTCAGGTTCCGATAAGTGGCCTCCGAGGCCCAGGGCTGACACTGTGCGCCTGAGAGTGTCGTCCCAGCAGGGCCTCGGTAGCTCCACCCGTGGCCCTCATAGCAGTTGGCCTTTTTGTCTGGGGAGAGAGGAGGCTCCCTACAGCCTGGGGCTGATGTGGCCTTCTGCTGCTCTCAGCCTTTCTCCCCCTCCCCACCTCCCTCCCTCTCCTTCCCTCACCAGGACTCACCCACATCACAGAAGCGTCCTGCATAGCCCTCCAGACAGCTGCACACTTGGTGGCCCTCTGCCTCTAGGCAGCGTCCCCCGTGGAGGCATGGGTTGTTGTGGCAGACTGAGAGAAGGAGCACATTGAGCTACCTCAGGGCCCAAAGACTCCATAGAGAGCTCTCCTCCTTCCATAGGGACACCACCTGGCCTTCTGACAGCTTCTCCTACCTTCTCCGGGCTGTTGACCTTCGGCCCTCCTCCCAGCCAGTTCCCAACGGATTCACTCACCCTGGCTGGCCAGCAGCTTGCAGTGGGTTTGGGAATCTTGGCACTGACACTTGGCCACACCTGCCAGCTCAAGCCTATGCCATATTTCATTCTCATGGAAGAACTGGAGAAGCTGAGGCTCAAAGCACTTCTCTGGGGACAAAGTGGGATGATGGTCTTAGGAGAGGCTGGGACCATGCAAGGTCTCTGAGGGTCCTGGGACCTCTTCAGTAGGCAGGTGCTGCACCTGTTCCCCAGCCTCCCCCCACCCCCACCCCAGCATCTCCTTACCTCTCTGGCAATGCTTCCCAGTGAACTGTTCTGGACAGATGCAATGTGGGCCACTTGCCACGTTCACACAGGTCCCTCCCCTCTGGCAGGGGTTGTTTTTGCGGCAGTGGTCTGAGAGATGGACATAGTGGGAGGAAGAGTGAGGGACCTGAGTCAGACTGATAGGAGCCAAGTCCATACCTGAACTTGATTGTCTTGTCTTTTGACCTTGTTTCCAGACCTTAGTTTACCCACATGCAAAATGGGGCTACTCCCTCCCAGAACTTCTCCCTCTGAAGGGAGGGAAGGGGCTAGGTGGGCCCAGAATCCCAGGGTTGTAGGGTCTAATGAGACTCAGGAGAGTAACTAGGGGGGAGGAGAAGGGTTTGGGCCACCCCAGAGGCTGTGTGTGGCACCTTGCACTTTCTTGGGCTCCAAGCAGTATGCCCATCTTTGGTCCTGCTCAAAGTTGGGGGTAGTAGCACACCTGGAGAAAGAGAGAAGGCTCCCTGCTCTGCCCAGGGGGCTGGCCCACCCTTCCCTATCACAGCCCTCTCTCTCCAGGCAGGGTTCCTTGGGTAGAAGGATGGGCAGAGTCCATCTTCCCAGGCCCTGCTCCAACCCCTTCTGGGTCATCTTACCAGGGCCGGAGGCCAGGTCGGCCCCTACGGGTGCATTTGTGATACAGCTGCCGGCGGTACTGGAAAGGGAAGTAGCAGGGCTCCCCCGTGACAGTGAGAACTGCAGGGATAACACATTCTCTCATCACATCCCCTGTGCCCAATCTCCCAGGCACCACCCTCAGGTCTAGTTGGAAAGGATGGACTCGAAAAGATCACTGTGCCGTCAAGCATCCTGCTTAAGAAGTTGGGTCCTGGAGTTAGACAGCTGGAGTGGACTCTGACTCTAGCACCTACTAGCTGTATGACCTAGGGCAAGTCTGCAGCCCCCTACTTTAGAAGAGCGCTTGCCACAAAGTAGGCACTTCATAAATACTTGTTGAATGTTGAAGTCACTTAATCACTCTGAATCTTAGTTTCTCATCTGTAAAATGGCAATAAAAATAGTACAGTCAAAGGGTTTTAGTTTTGCAGAGTTCTGGAGATGGGTTGGTGGTGATGGTTGCACAATATGAATAAATGTACTTAATACCACTGAATTGTACACTTAAAAATGGTGAAGACAGTAAATTTTATGTTATGTGTATTTTACCACAATAAAAAGTTTAAATGATGATGTAGATAAATTAGTACAGAAAGGTGTCCATTATTTTATTTATTATTATTATTTTAATCCTTACTCAAGGACATGCTTAGAGAGAGAAACATCAATGTGAGAGAGAAACATTGATCAGTTACCTTCCATGTGCTTCCCCACTGGGGAGGAAACCTGCAACCCAGGTATATGTGCCCTGACCAGGAATTGAACCAGCAACCTTTCGGTGCACGGGGTGACAACCAACCAACCGAGCCACTCCAGCCAGGAGGGTGTTCATAATTTAAATGAAGAACACCAAGTTACAAATAACATGCTAGTATGGTCCTATTTTTGTACAAATACATTTATGCATAAAAAAATCTAGAAGGACATTCTCAAAATTTGCAAGAGTGGTTTTTGGAAGATTGTGGATTATGCATGACTTTTTTCTTCTTTTGCATTTTTGTAATTTCTAAAGTTTTGACAATAAAAATATATTGCTATTATAATTTTTTTAATTTATCTTTATTGTTGAAAGTATTACATATGTCCCCCATTTCCCCCCCATTGATCCCCTCCACACATCTGCCCCACCCCAGGCCTTCCCCACACTATTGTCTGTGTCCATGGGTTATGCATATATGCATATAAGTTCTTTGATTAATCTCTCATACTATTTTTAAAAATAAGATAGTCAAGCCTCATCATTCACAGATTCTATATTTGCAAATCTGCCTTCTTGCTAAGATTCATTTGTAAATCCCAAATCAATTCTCAAGGGGCTTTCACAGACATGCACAGAGTGGTGAAAATTTGAGTTGCCAGAAGTCAGAAGTGCACTTTTCCAGCTGAGATCAAACCAGGTGATACTGCTTCTTGTTTCAACTCTCCTGTTGTAAACAAGTGTCCTTTCAGCAGTCTATTTAGTGCCACATTTTTCACATTTTGTGCTTTGCTGTTGAAAATAGCCCCCATAGTGCTGAAGTGCTATGTTCCAGTGTGCAAGTGGGCTGTGATGTGCCTTATGGAGAATACATGTATCTTAGATAAGTTTCATCCAGGCATGAGTTACAGTGCCACTGGCTGTGAGTTCAATGTTAATGAATCAACAATACATATTATACAAGGTGTCCTGCTGCGCCTGCAGGAGAGCGAGGATGGCAGCTGCGATCGCCAGTTGCCTTTTGTTGGGCCTGTTGGGCCTGTTTGCCTGCCGAGCAGCACTGCCCACCCCACTGAACCCAAGGCCGAGCTCTGCGAGGTAGCCGGCTGGGGCCACCAATTCCAGGGTAGGCAGAACCGCTGGGTGAGGGAGGGAGACCTCTGGCCCCTGGGGTAGGCAAGAAAAGCACACAGATACAGCCCAAGCCCTACACTAAAGGAGCATACAGCTCACTAGCACTGTGGGCACCAGCGGCCATCAGCATAGACCTGGCACAAGCAGGCACTCAGGCCTGAGTGCCAGCGAGATGACTCTGGGTACAAGAGTGATATTGTGCCCAGGATCCTGCCCCTCCCTCCAAGGGCCTGAGACTAACCATTGGCACGCTCCCAACCACACTCATTCCCACCCAAGGGTGTCTTAGGAGGCAGAGCCAGGCTACTTACCCACTGTGTGTTCATATGTTATGTTCTTATGCACCTTGGGGTCTTCCTGAGGTGGCATCTACAGGAGGAGAGAAGAGGACAGGCAATTTGCCCAGAAAGTCATAGCCTATCCCTGGTCCCATGCTAGTCCCCAGCTTCTTCTCAGCCCAGAAATGCTGAGATTTCCTCATGAGACCCGGACCCCTTCTTCCTCCCTCAAGGACCCTCTCCAGAAATGCAAGTCATGCCCTCATGTCCACAGGCCCTGGTGGCTCTCTCCTTCGCCTGGGCCTTCTGAGCTGACCCCACCTTTATATACAGGCCTTCTGGTCACCTGGACCAACAGGTCATAGGCAGAGGCCAAGGTTGTGATGGGGACCCCCAGGCCCACCCCAGCACAATCTTCCTGGTTCCCACAGCCCTTACCAAAAGAGCTGATTCCAGGCTCACCAGCAGGAACCCCAAGAGCAGCAGAGCCCTCATGGCGTCTGTCTGTTGGTCCAGCAGCCTGCCCGGGAGTCCAGATCAATAGAGTTGGCCAAAGGTCTCTGAGGCCTGGGAAGGTGAGATTGGTTGAGCTGCCCCTCTGGGCCTGGTGGGGCACAGGCTGTTTGTGGAAAGCCAAAGGCAGGGAGTTGGCCATTGGGAGATCAGGGTAGAATTGTAGCAGGACAGTAAGAAAGTAGGAAAATCCCTGGGCAAGTGGAATGGGGAAACTGAGACAAGAAAATTTAAAAAGGCCAAACAGTTTGGGTAGCTTTCAGCCAGCTTGTGAACTGCAAGAACTCATCTTCCCTAACCAAGGACAAATGATTATACCTCCCTTCTCTAAACCGAGAATACATAGCTTAAATCACCCTGGCCTGGGAAAACAGAGAACAAAGACCCAATTAATGCCATTTGCGCCAGCTAACCCCAATGACAGATGAAGTAGGGGAACAAAAAACAAAAACCCTATTAAAGCCAGACAGACCTAAGATAAAAGTAAAACAGTAAAACAGACCAAATAATAATCCAAGACTCCCCTATGCACTCATTTCAATGCATCAGCATATTAAAAATGCACCTGGAAAGCTGATGAATATTCTACTGAAACCCTCCCTAAAATTCTTGCCTGCAGGGGGGAGGAAAAAAAAGCCCTCAGGACAAATACTCAATGCGGCTCCCTCAGAGCACACCCATGCCCTTTCCCAAGCATGAACTTTTTCTTTTTTTTTTTTAATCTTTATTGATTTCAGAGAGAGGAAAGGAGAGGGAGAGAGAGAGAGACAGAAACATCAATGATGAGAGAGTCATTGATCGAGCCCGCAACCCGGACATGTGCCCTGACCGGGAATCGAACCCCTATCGCCTGGATCCCAGGTCGATGCTCAACCGCTGAGCCACGCCCGGCCGGGCTGAACTTTTTATTTCTAAGGGTCCCAAGAGACTTGCAGCCAGGGGAATGGTGGGTAGCGGCAGCTGATCCTGTCTCCAAGGACCCCCTTTTCTCTGACTTCCCAGTGAGCTAACAGCAGCTGCCTTGGCTCACTTCTTTCCTATACCGTTTCTAGGGAGCCAAAGCAGAGCATTGCCTAGGCTCTCCCCTGTTGTTTCTTCTACCCTTATTTCTTCCTTTGTTTCATTGTCCCAACATTGATAAACATACTCTCAAACCCATCTGGATTCCTGTTGAGAAATCTTTCCTACTCGAAGCCCAGGACCCACACACTACAGGCCAGCCTGAGGCAGACCTGCTCCCCGCAGGGCCCACCCAGGAACAGAATGACAAGGAGCTGGGTTACTTCTCTCTTTCCCAGGTAGTGGGACCGGAAACAAGAAGAGAGACTTCTTGTGTTCCACATCCCATTGGGGGTGAGAAAGTTAAGGAGACCCAAGAGAAGCTCCCTGCTTTAGGGATCTTACAGTACGTTGGGAAGTGTATTCATTTTCCATTGCAGCCTAAACTGAATCACAAGCTCCACAACTTAAAACAATATCCATGTATTAGTTCACAAATTTGTAGGTTGAAAGTCCAGCACCATGTGACTAGGTTTTCTGCTCAGGGTCTCACAAAAGTGAGACCAAGGCTGAGCTCTCCTGAAGCTCTGGGGGAAAATCCACTTTCAAGCTATTCAGATTGTTGGCAGGTTTTAGTTCCTTGCATTTGTAGGACTGAGGTGCCTGTTTCTTTGCAGGCTGTAAGCCAGGGCCCTTAGCTCCTAGAAGCTGCCTGAATTTCTGGCCATATGGCCCCCTCCATCTTCCAAGCCAGCAGCAGAGTCTCTCCCATGTTGACTCTCTCTCTTGCATTGAATCTCCTTTACCAGGAAGAACACTGTTCCTTTTAAGGGCTCACCTGATTAGGGCAGGCTCACCAAGTATAATCTCCCTATCTTAAAGTCAACTGATTTGGGACCTTAATTACATTTTCAGCATTCTTCCACAGAAGCATCTAGATTAGTGTTTCATTTAAAAACTGGGAGAAGGTAAGCATACACCAGGAGTGGGAATCTTGGGGACCATCTTAGAACTCTACCAACCACAGAAAGCAAGCCAAGAAAGTAAATGGTCCCATGGTGAAAATGCTAAAACAAAGGTTGCTAAAATGTCCAACTGGAGCACAGAGGAGGGAGATGGGTGAACATGTGTTGTTTTTCCTGCCCAACATCCATTAACCTTGATTCACTAATGGCCCCCTGATTTTTTGAGAACCATGCCTTCTTTATTTCCTCCATCAGTCCCTAGTGCATCCAACCCTATCCTCCATTCTAGGGCTGGGGGTGTGACCTTTGTCTGACCAATAAGGACATTGTATCTGTGGACCACAGCAATTGGTTCAAGGAGAAGCATATACACAAGTTTGTCTCATCAGAGTCACCCTTGGGACTTACTCACCAGAGCTTTTGGGAAAGGGATACTTTCTTTTTGGGGGGGTAATCCTCACCAGAGGATATTTTTGTCCATTGCTTTTCAGAGGGAGTGGAAGGGAGGGAGAGGGAGAGGAAATGGGGGAGAGAGAGAGAGAGAAACATCAATGCGAGGGACACATCAACTAGTTGCCCCCCGCCTGTGCCCCTTACTGGGGCGGGGAGGAACCCACAACCCAGGTACATGCAGTTGACCAGGAATCAAACCTGTGACCCTTCCGTGTGTGGGCCAACGCTCTAACCACTGAGCACACCAGCCAGGGCAGAAAAGGGGTACTTTCTTCCCACTGGAGTCACTAAGAATGGGAGCCTGGAGATGTTGGGGGCCATCTGTGTCCCTGCCTGGGAGTGAAGCCTACATATAGTTGAAAAGCAGAGTAAACCAGGAAGGAATGATCAGGTGCCACATGGGAGGCCGTCCTCAAGGTGGGCCCCAGTGATCACCCCCTGCAATTCATGCCCTTGCATATAGTCTTTTCCCACACTGAGTTGGAGCTGTTCTATGTGTCCAATAGAATATGGTAGAAGTGATGGCATTTGATTTCCAGGCCCAGGTCATAAAAAGCATTGCAGTTTCTACTTTGGTCTTTTGGATCACTCACTCTAGGCGAAGCCAGCTGCCACGCTGGGAGGACACTTTCAAGCAGCCCTATGGAGAGGCATGTGTAGGGAGAAAGTACCAACTTGACAGCCTTGGGAAGGGGCCACCTTGCAAGTGGATACTGCAGCCCCAGCCAACATCTGGCCTGCAGCCTCATGAGGCACCTCAAGTCAGAACTATCCAGCTAAGCTGCTCCTGAATTTTGTGTTTATTAAGGTATAATTAACATAACATTTTGGCCCCTGAATTTTTGAACCTCAGAAACTGAAGAATGATTATTGCTTGTTGTTTTAAGCCATAAGTTTTAAGGTCATTTGTTACCCAGCATTTGACAACTAGTGCAGATAGATCTATCCCTGATGGCTTTGTTAGAGAACCTGCATGGTAAAACAAGAACCCTCAAGAATTCTCAGGCCCTAGCCATGTGGCTCAGTTGGTTGGAGCTTTGCCCTGGTCCTGTACACCAAGTATAATAAAAAAACCAAAAGTTTGAGGGTTCAGTTCCAGGTTAGGGCACATACCTAGATTGCAGGTTCAATTCCTGGTTGGCAACCAAACGATGTCTCTCTCTCTCTCCCCCACATCCCCACTTCCTCTTTCTCTAAAACCAATAAACATATCTGTGGGTGAGGATTTAAAAAAAGAAAGAATTCTTGGTTACATGAACCAATAAAACCAATTTGAATGGATTTCTGTTCATTTTCAAGGGAATCCTGACAATCTATGGGAAATGAAGTGGAGACAGAGTGTAGCAATTTCTTAGTTCTGCTGGAAGGGAGGCCCTGAAAGATTTCCTAGAACAGAAACCCAGCAAGTGGAAGTCAGAAGTAGGGGCACCCTTTCAACAATTGTTTTCAAAGGCAACAGAAAGTGATAACTGTTAAGACCACAATGAAGGCTAACCTAGGTTCAGACAAGCTCATTAAAGGGAAAGCATCCTAGTTTTGTTTTGTTCTTTAATATATCTTTATTGATTTCAGAGAGAGGAAGGGAAAGAGAGAGATAGAAACACCAATGATGAGAGTCATTGATCAGCTGCCTCCTGCACGCCCCCGACTGGGGATCGAGCCTGCAACCCGGGCATGCGCCCTGACTTGGAATCGAACCCTGATCTCCTGGATCCTAGATCCATGCCCAACCGCTGAGCCACGCCTGACCGGGTGCATCTTAATTCTTGATTGCACTTGAGTACAGACCACAACCCAGGGCCAGTCCCCTATTGGCTCCTTCTCCCTTAGAATGGAAGGGCTTTTGGAACAGGTCTTCACGATGAGTAAGGATTTGGGGGCCAGTGGAAGCGTCCAGGCAGAGTAAGTGATACAAGTTCACAGAAGCCTGGATGCTGCATGTCAGGGAATGTGCTGAGCACAGGGTGATTTGTAGGGAATGTGAGATGGGGTGTGAAGTCCTTTGGGACTGAAGATAAACATCTGTAGGGATTTGGATGCTCAACATCTATTCCCCCTTCCTCTTCCTCTTTTCTCCTAGTTTCTATCGGAGGGTCACCTTTCCCCCATTGTGTGGTAAAAGGGTAATTTCTAGTGACCATCTCCCACTGTGGAAGCCTAATGAACCAGATCACCCTCTCCCTACCATAGCAAAGCCAGAGGGACCTGTTTAAAAAGCAAACAAACAAAAAAACCATAGGCCCAAAATGCTGTCGCTTGTGCTACAATAGAAGCCCATGATATCAAACTTAGATTTAATACCCCATCTAAATGCAGCTTAAATCTCTCCCAGAAACAAAATCTTAATCAACCAGTCTGGAATTTTTTGGTCAAGCACCTGTCACATAAGCCTCACCATCCTCCATAGAAGGAAGATGCAATCTCCATAATAAAACTCTCATCCTCTTTCCTCCAAAGAAAAGATGTCCAGGCTCAAAAGTAATTCTTTCTTTTCTTTTACTAATAGCTCCCTTGCCCCACCCTCCTCCCTATAAAATCCTTCCATTTCGTACCACCCCGTGGAGC